GCAAAAATTTAATCTTCTAAATTACTTAATTTAGTAGTATAGATGCTTTAGAGAATAAAAAAAATTATTAAATTTTTGCTTATATAATACTTAACTTTAACTTTAACCCTATTACATAATATACTTAACTATAACCTAAATATCTATAACTATAACCTAACTTATACCTATGCTAGCTAGAAAGTTTAGGTATAGGTTAAGTTAATTTAGGGTTTATATTATGTAATACTTAACTATAACCTAACCTATACTCATTTGCCACCCTAGACGAATTGCTACTATTTAGAAGTAATTCTCTCTCTACTCTATATACTAGCTTTCTAGCAGCTATACTAGGCTTACTTAGAACGCTAAAGGCGTCTTTAGTGCTAGAGTACTAATATTATCTCTCTTCTTAGGTATACTTACTTTAAGTAAATACATCTAATATAAAAGAGTATTTAGTAAGCTAGAATAAGCTATAATAGCTTATTTAGAGCCTAAAGCACGTATTAGAGATCTATAGATTATTTCTAAAACTTATAGCTTTAAGAAACTTACTTAGCTAAGCTTAGCGCGCTAAGTAATAATAAGTAAGTAGCATATAGATCTATAATACTAGTTAAGCTTAGCTTAACTCTTAATCTAGTTTTATATTCTCTTAGTCTATTTTAGGTAGGAATTTTTAGTTCTCTTTATAGAGATTTTAGCCTCTATTTAAGCTAAAATACTCTATTATACTCTATTATAGCGCTAATAAATATAGAGTATTCTGTAATAACTACTACGCTTATTAATCTAGCTTTATTAAGCTTATTTACTTCTATTCTATGCTAATCTAAGCTAGAATACCGCTCTAAATTAGTTAATATAGATTAAATTGCTATTAGTAATAATATAATAGAGAATAGTATATATATCTATTATCTATAATACTACTATATTATATCTTTTGCTATAGGCTTCTTTTAAGTACTTTAGTAAGTTTAGTTATATTATAATAAACTTCTCTAACGCTATAGAGAATGCTAAGAACTATCTTAACTTCTATTTATTCTAGTAGAAGAAGATTAGAGATAGAGAGACTACCTAATATTTTAAATACTTCTATTACTTTTTTAGTAACTCTAACTATAATATAGTTTATAAGCAAGCAAGCACTCTAAGTAAGCAAGTATCTTCTTATTAGCGCATTAACGTTAATACGTTATTATAGTCTTTTATTATAGTTAATAAACTATTATAATATACTAAATTAATTTTTAAAATTACTACTATTACTTATACTTTCTATCTTAACTGCGTAAGTATAAGTATTATATCTAGTCTACTTATAACGCCTGCACTACTTCTCTTCTTATACTCTCTTTAATATACTTTTATTATTACTATAACTACTACTTGCTTATTTAGCTAATACTTCTTATACCTTATCTATAGTAAGAGTCTCTTCTATCTATATATATTACTGCTTATAGCTTTTATACTTATTTAATTTATCTAGAGCCTCTTAAAGAGTAGTTATTTTCTCTATTAAAAGTACTATCTTATATACTATTTGCTAAGCTTCTTTACTTAGCTATATAATTTACTTAGTAAGAGAATTAGCAGAAAATCTATAGCGCTTTCTTATACTCTATTAAATAAGACTAATTTAAGCCTTAACTTTACGCGCGTTATATAGTATCTACGCCTCTTAAAGTAGCTATTTATTATAGTAATTATTATAGTATTTATACTACTATATTAAGCTTTAATAGTATAGCTTATAAGTTATATAGCATTAGACTAGCGCTTCTAAAGCTAGCTTAGATATTCTCTATTATAATAGACTGCTTAAAAGTAATCTTAAAGGCTAGTAAGAAAGTCTTCTTACTAATATAGTTAGTGCAGCTTACGTACTAAGTCTAAAATAGCATTATTATACTTATACTTTAATAGTAAGAAGTAAGTAATATTAAAAGACTATAATAAGTAAGATAAGTGCGTAAGTATATAGAGAAGAATAATATTCTTCTTCTTATAAAGATCTTAAAAATTAATAGAGTAGTAGCTCTTATAGCTATTAATAATAAGTAGTTAATACTTATCTATAGTATATATCTTTATATAGCTATTAAAATACTTTAACTAAGTAAAAATAAGCTAGTTATTTATCTAGCTATTAAGACTAACTTTAAGAACTTAGTTAGTAGGCAAATCTTTAAACTAGATATTAATAAGCACTTTACCTATAAAGATAATAAAGAGTAGTATATAGTAATCTAACGCGCCTTACGTCTTTAGATTATAGTAATCTACTTATAGTTACTTAGCTATACTTACTTCTTTTTACTATACTCTTCTAAGCTTATAATTATTATCTATAATAAAATCTTACTTATTATAAAGCTAGTTTTATTAAAGTTATAGATATTATTATCTATAATTCTTTATCTCTTCTTTATTAACTTAACTACCGTTAAAGCTAGCGCTAGATAGCGCTAGATAGCTACTAAGTTCTCATAAGCAGCTTAGCTGAGTAATTATAGAAATAGCTCTAGCGTAGTATAGAGCTTAGAAGTTTACTTAATAAAGTTATTAACTTAGTTCTTACTAGTAGAGTTATTCTTCTACTTATATAATAGTTTATTAGCTATTACTATAATAAATATATATTCTAGTATAGACTAGTTTAAGTTTAGAGGCTTTTGCTACTGCTTTTAGAGAGTCTAAGACTCTGCGCTCTTCTCTGCTCTATCTTGCTACGTTAGAGAGCAAAGCAGAGAACCTATATTATCTTATACTATACTAACTTAATAGAGGGTACCTGCAAAGCGCTGGAAGCCTACGCCTTAAAGTGCCCTAATATAGTAGTAAGCGTAGATATATGAGCTAAGCTTACTTATTATATCTCTATTCTACTATAATGCTATTATCTCTCTATTTAGTCTCTTCTCTTA